TGCAGAGCCCCTGTTGAGGGCCCTACCGTGCCTGGGGAGTGGAGGGTGGATGGGGTAGGGGTAGGTCAGGGGTTGGGAAAGAGGGTTGGGGGTGAGGGGAGGGAGAGGGAGAGGGAGAAGGAATTTACATGTGAAACAAGCTTGTTCCCAACTTGAACTAATAAAAAAATTAAAAAAAAAGAGTGTGTCTTCTGCTTTTCCACTAAGCTCTGGTGGATGGCGCCACACCCCAGAGAATGTGGACAACACAAACTGGACCTGGGTTATTAAAATAATAAGAGCAGAGGATAGAAATTTGGAAGAGATGAGAGTGAATATGGGAACAGTTATGGCAGAGAAGCAGACAGGAGGGAACAACATCAATACCATAAAATATATTGTATGGATGATTAAATCATCAAAGAATCAATAAAAATAGTGTTTGAATAAAACATGACACCTCACTGAAATTAGATTTTCATGTTTCTGTTGTTATCAACTGGGTTTTAAAGGATTTCTTTGGAATGGATCTTGCAGGGAGCTGAGTGGAAAGCTGTGCTGGTGGTTATCTTCTGGATATGTGAGAACTGCATCTGCGTGACTACACTGATTTTGAAGACAAAACTGAGCTTTATAGGAACCATGATCTTTTCCAGTGTTCTGAGTGATGGTGAGATATGAGAAGCTCACCCTTCTCATAGTGATAGTATTAGTGTGCTTCTGTCGTTTTGCAGTACTATGGGATTCTGAACATAGGTTACCACACGCAGCCACCAGCATAATAATTCTCTTCAAGATAAATAAGATATAAAAGGTTCTATGACCCTAAAGTTCCTTCAGGCTTCCTTCTTGCTATTAGTTTTATTTCTCCAAGGATGAGCAAATTCTCTTTTCCTTCTTCAACAAGTAGCTGCTTCCCCAAGGAGGCAATGGAATGTAGCAATTATATACTACTTTTAATTTAGACTCAAGATGACAGTGTTATCTTATGGGATTCTCCCTGTCTTTTGTAAAATTAGAATTCATAACAAATCCTCAAGAGCTACAGGCAAATGTTCATTGGTATATCTAACTTTATTTTGTTCTGACCTAGTGTGGCTTTTGACCTGCAGTATGGAACATTCTGTCCCTTAGAGACCCTATTTATTACAATATCTCACATATCATCTAGAGAGAAATGGAGGGACCTTTTCATGCCTTGAAGTTGAAGGTATCTGTGTTATCATCTAAGGGGGCATGCCAAAGCAGGAGAGAGTTTTCCCTCAGTAGTATGATTTTGTGTGTGTGTGTGTGTGTGTGTGTGTGTGTGTGTGTGTGTGTGTGTGTGTGTGTGTGTTTGTGTGTGCACACATGCGCGTGCACTGCATACAACTGTCACTAGGCTCTTCGTCTCCACACCAATGTCATATGTACAGTTATTTATCATGAATCAAGGTCCTATCAAAAGTTTGAGAAGAGAGGATAGCACAGTAGCTCCGTGTAGAGTAAATCTCAAACTCATAGAGTAAGTAATCCAGAAGAAGGAGATGTCTAGTTTCTTTGTTTGTCTTTATCCTCCATCATGTCTTGCTAGGTCTCTTCCAAATTTGATGCTAAATCTGTATAACTGTATCCACCTCCACAGACATACTCGTGTATGCAGTGAGTATATTTTATCTAAACTGCAGCAACAGCCCCCTGTTAAGCTCCCTCCGATACCTGGTTTTGCTGTAACCCCACTTTACTCACTAACAGTATATAACATTTAAAGCTTATAGTCACTTCTCTTTTTTTCCTTTTTTTTTATTTTTTTGAGATAGGGGTTCTCTGTATTGTTTTGGAGCCTGTTCTGGAACTCGCTCTGTAGATCAGGATGGCTTCGAACTCACAGAGATCTGCCTGCCTCTGTCTCCCGAGTGCTGGGATTAAAGGCGTGCCCCACCAACGCCCAGCTTATAGCCACTTCTTTACACAAATCTTTCCTTTTGCATACAAATGCTTTAAGCAGAGAACTGAAACTTTCTGTTGTAGCATAAATGATCTTATATACCCCTGCATTTCAGTAATATTCCAACTTCATAGACTTTACCAGACTGATCATGGTCTTGACTTTCCTCTATTCCCCCAATGCCCGAGGCCTGCCCTCTCCACACACTGAACTATCATGACTCCATTCACAGAACATGTAAGAATAGCCTTGCTCAGTAACTGTAGTGTCTTATGTTTGTCTGTCTATCAAAATCAAGCATATATACAGACCCTCTAATTCAATTGGGAATTTATCATATCATATCATATCATATCATATCTATCTATCATCTATCTATCTATCTATCTATCTATCTATCTAAAATGGTATTTGATAATGATGTCTACTGTAATGATGGAAAAAGTAAAAATATTGAAACTCTGTGTCCAAAAATAGCTAATATTATTTCATTATGTAAAACTGATTATTAAAAATGTAGTGATGGGTGATAAAACTGAATAAATAATTAATCTCTGGTACAAAATAACATTAGAATATTCAAGAAAGTAGACTGGATAATTTCAATCAAGATGGCAGCCTTGGAATAGTACCACAAACTTTATTCCCCCTCCTCCTGTAAGTGATTAGTTCAAAATTGACTGTTTCTTAGCTTTCAAACACAAAGACAGTGACATTGATTTCATTTATTAAATGGGAGTCTGTTTTAATAGACAAATCAGCATGTTTTATTTATGGTTGTCCACATGAATAGTTCTGATTTCAACTGATAAAGAGGGGTACAATAATATATGAAATGTTAGAAATACAACAAAGAAAATATCACTTAAAAGTCATTAGCAAAAGAAATCTGGATTAAGACTAATGACAATGGAGAGGGTTATTTGGTTACATTAGGCAGGGGCCAAGTGCTTCCTTAGGAGTTTCCAGATGTAGCTGAAGAAGTTAAATCCTACAAAATCTGAAAAAAGCGTAATTAGGTTTTGATTGAGAAAATGCACAACAAAACTTGAAAGACACAGACTTTGTATCCATATTCCATGAGAACCGCTTAGGAAGAGTGGCAGGCCACTGGAGATGCTGTAACGGGGCAGATGTGAAGGGCGTATAGGAGACATGCCATCTGACATTTCATGCTACTGACATAAATCTGTGTCCTTAAGTCTCTAAAACATATACTATATCTTCATAAATGTCCCCTGGCTTCTTTTGATTTCAATACAGCCCCAGATATAAAACATTAGCCAATATGATTCTAGAGCTGTGAAGAGGGTCAAGAGAGGTTAGCATACCATTATAAATCATTGACTAGCTTTGCTATCAATTGATGACTGAGTTAACTTTTCACCTCATTCCCTATCTCAGAAGTCCATTATGTATTCCTAAACATCTCAAAGCTGATCTTTTCTTATCTGATAATTGTTATGAGTTTTTTTCAAGTTCCAGGAAAATATGATGAATTTGGTTCTAAGTCACCAACCTCCCATTAGTGTTCAAAAGTTAGAGGTTTTTATATAAAGTGAACACACTAATTAAAAAACATTGTTTTCACTGTGGCTTGATCATAATGTTTTTCCTTCTCACATTTCCATTTCTTTCCCATTTTCAGCAGAAGACAAGAAGCACAAATAACCAGAGCAGTGTATTTGAGTTCATCCTCCCGGGACTCCCCAAACAGCCAGAGGACCAAGACATGTATTCTGCCCTATTCTTGCTTATGTACGTGACAACAGTGTTAGGAAACCTTCTCATCATCCTGCTCATCAGGCTGGACTCTCACCTCCATACCCCCATGTACTTCTTCCTCAGCCACTTGGCTTTCACAGACATCTCTTTCTCATCAGTCACAGCTTCAAAGATACTCATGAATATGCTGACACATGGTCAATCCATCTCATATACTGGGTGCATTTCTTAGATGTATTTTTTCTTAATGTTTGGGGCTATTGACAACTTCCTTTTGACCTCCATGGCCTATGACAGATATGTGGCCATCTGCCACCCCCTCCACTATACCAGAATCATGAGTCAGAGTGTCTGTATCATACTGGTCATTGCATCCTGGTTCTTATCATTTGCTGGTGCCCTTGTGCACACAGTCCTTCTAGCTCGTCTCTCTTTCTTTAGAGGTAACACTCTCCACCACTTCTTCTGTGATCTCTCTGCTTTAATTAAGCTGTCTAGCTCAGATACCTCAATCAATGAGCTGGTCATCCTCATTGTGGGATCACTAGTCGTTACTGTGCTATTCATATGCATCCTGGTCTCTTATGGCCACATTGGAGCCACCATCCTGAGAACTCCATCAATCAAGGGAATCTGCAAAGCCTTGTGCACATGTGGTTCTCACCTCTCTGTGGTTTCCCTTTATTATGGGACCATTATTGGTCTATATTTTGTCCCCTCATCTAACAAAACTAATGACAAGGATGTCATTGTGTCTGTGCTGTACACTATGGTCACACCCATGCTGAATCCCTTTATCTACAGTCTGAGGAATAGGGATATGAAAGGAGCTTTGTGGAATATGCTTGCAAAAGCAACCTTTTCTATGTGATTAGCTTTTTCTGCGCATTAAGGTGAGCTGAGGTCTACCCACTCTCTACAAGTGTCCTTCTATCTATGACTTGGTGCTCTTCAGTGAAGGTTTAGGTTGTACTTTTCAAGTCAGTGTTTCCCCTTGGCCACAGGTTTTGTTTATCTTTGTTTTGTTCATCTTGGGGGAGGTTTTTTGTTTGATTGTTTGTTTTCTGGTTTTGTGTTTTTTTTTTTTTTTTTTTTTTTTTTTTAAAAAACCCCTTTTTTTTTTTTTTTTTTTTTTTTTTTTTTTTTTTTTTTGCTCAAAATGGATATACAGGTGGAATATTACCATATCTGTAGTGGAGGCAATTGGAATCTGTGTGTTTGTGTAGGAAGGGTGAGTTTTATGAAAAAGGCATGTGCTATTTTTCTGTTTCATGTCTTCACGTCCTGTCATATTTTTAAGAACAGAAAATTTTTTTATCACATGTCAGTCATTCACCTTTTATAATTATCTAATTTAGTGGCTTTTTTATGAACGATTTTTCCTTTTTCAGAAAACAGAAATAATTATACTATATATGCATTGTTTCATTTTATATTGAATTTTATGGTATGTTTTGATTTTATTTTTATTAATAACAACAATTAAAATATAGTTTGTTTTTGTTTTTAATTTTTTAATTTTTAAAAATTGGCAGAAAAATGAATACACAATTCCATTTCAGGAAATCAGTGTGTGTGTGTTTCTCAAAGACTAGAAATAGAACTTCCATATGACCCATCTGTATCAGTCCTGGAAATCTACAGAAAGGACTTCATATCTTGCTACACAGATGCTTGCACACCAATGTTCCTGCTTCTGTATTCACAGTAGGTAGGAAATAGAGTCAACTTAGAAGTCTATCAACTGACCAGTGGAAAATGAAAAAAAAAAGTGGCATATATGCATAATAAAATATTAATGATATTTAGAGGAAAATGTTTGAAAATAAATGTATACAAATTATACTAGATTATGTTACCCAGGTTGCAAAAACCCCAAATACCCCATGACCTCTCTCATATGAGGTTTTGTGTCCTAGGTTCACATATTTTGCTTTGTGTATTTGATATAAGCTATATATGGAAACTAGTAAACAACAAATGGCCCATTGGCTGGTGATGCATTTAGGGAGAGGGGTTATTGGAATTTACAAGAAATGAAGTAAAGATTGGAATCCTGGGGTCAGACCTGTTCAGGCATGTAGTGGAGGGATGGGCATGGGGAAATGGGGGTCAGGGGTAGATTTAACCAAAGCAAATTGTTCATAAAGAAGCTACTTGGGAAACTAAGATCTTGAAATCCAAGTTAAATCTAATAAGAGGGATAGTGGAACATATGTTATATGAAAGAATAGGGGACAATATTGGGAGATAAAGGATAAGGGGGGGAGAGTAGGGAGAAGGAGAGGTAGGAGCGTGTTAATTAAAACTCAGCTGATCTTGAACCTCTCCCTTTCTCCAGGGGACCATGTATGTCTCTCTTAGGGCCCTCCTTGTTTACTATCTTCTTTGGCAGTGTGGATTGTAGGCTGGTAATCCTTTACTCTATGTCTAAAATCCGCATATGAGTGATTGCATACCATGTTTGTCTTTTTGTGATTGGGTTACCTCACTCAGAATGGTTTCTTCTAGTTCCATCCATTTTCCTGCAAATTTCAAGATTCCATTGTTTTTTTTTTTTCCACTGAGTAGTACTCCATTGTGTAAATGTACCACATTTTCTCTATCCATTCTTTGGTTGAGGGGCATCTAGGCTGCTTCCAGTTTCTGGCTATTACAAATAATGCTGCTATGAACATAGTTGAACATATGTCTTTATTGTATGAGTGTGCATTCTTTGAGTATACGCCCAAGAGAGGAATTGCTGGATCTTGAGGTAGACTGATTCCCATTTTCCTGAGAAATTGCCATACTGATTTCCAAAGTGGCTGGACAAGTTGGCACTCCCACCAGCAATGGAGGAGTGTTCCTCTTTCTCCACATCCTCTCCAGCATAGATTATTATTGGTGTTATTAATTTTAGCCATTCTGACAGGAGTAAGATGGTATCTCAGAGTGGTTTTGAGTTGCATTTCCTTGATGGCTAAGGATGTTGGACACTTTCTCAAGTGTCTTTCAGCCATTTTGAATTCCTCTGGTGAGAATTCTTTATTTAGTTCTGCACTCCAACTTTTAATTACATTGTTTGGTGTTTTGGTGGTTAGCTTCTTGAGTTCATTGTATATTTTGGTGATCAGCCCTCTGTCAAATGGGGGGTTGGTGAATATCTTTTCCCATTCTGTGGGCTGGCATTTTGTCTTGCTGTGTCCTTTGCTTTACAGAAGCTTCTCAGTTTCAGGGGGTCCCATTTATTAATTATCAATTTCAATGTTTGAGCTACTGATTTTAGGTTCAGAAATTGGTCTTCTGTACAAATTTGTTCCAGGGTACCACCTAGTTTCTCTTCTAGGAGGTTCAGTGTGGCTGAATTTATGTTGAGGTCTTTGATCCATTTGGATTTAAGTTTTGTTCATGGTGATTGATATTAATCAATCTGCAATCTTCTACATGTCTGAATCCAGTTATGCCAACACAATTTGTTGAAGATACTTTCTTCTTTCCATTGTATAACTTTAGCTTCTTTGTCAAAAATCAGGTGTTCATAGGTGTGTGGCTTAATATTAGGGTTTTCAACTTGATTCCATTGGTCAACCTGTCTATTTTCGTGCCAATACCACGCTGTTTTCAGGACTATGGCTGCATAATTGAGCTTGAAGTCAGGGATGGTGATGCCTCTGGAAGTTCCTTTATTGTACAGGGTTGTTTTGGCTATCCTGGGGTTTTTGTTTTTCCATATGAAGTTGAGTATTATTCTTTCATGGTCTGTGAAGAATTGTGTTGGGATTTTGATCGGAATTGCATTGAATCTGTAGATTGCTTTTGGCAAGATTGCCATTTTTTTTTTTACTATGTTGATCTTACCTATCCAAGAGCATGGGAGACCCTTTCATTTTCTGGTATATTCTTTAATTTCTTTTTTTTTAAAAGACTCAAAGTTCTTACTATACAGGGCTTACTCATTTTTTGGTTAGTGTTATCCCAAGATATTTTACGTTGTTAGTTGTTATTGTAAAGGGTGATGTTTCTCTGACTTCTTTCTCAGCAATTTATCTTCTGTATATAGTAGGGCTATTGATTTTTTTAGTTAATCTTGTATCCTACCACTTTACTTAAGGTGTTTATTAACTGTAGTAGTTCCCTGGTAGAGTTTTTTTTGGGTCACTTATGTAAACTATCATATCATCTGCAAATAGTGAAAATTTGACTTCTTCCTTTCCAATTTGTATCCCCTTGTTCTCCTTTTGTTGTCTTATTGCTCTTGCCAGGATTTCAAGTACAACATTGAAGAGTTATGGAGAGAAGGACAGCCTTGTCTTGTTCCTGATTTTAGAGGAACTCTGTGAAATTTCTCTCAATTTAGTTTGATGTTGGCTTTTGACTTGCTGTATATTGCTTTTATTATGTTTAGATAAGTTCCTGTTATACGTGATCTCTCTAAGACCTTTATCATGAAGTGGTGTTGGATTTTGTCAAAGGCTTTTTCCAGCATCTAGCGAGATGATCATGTGGTTTTTCTCTTTCAGTTTGTTTACATGGTGGATTACATTGATGGGTTTTCATATGTTGAACCATCCCTTCATTTCTGGGATAAAGCCAACTTTATCATGGTGGATGATTTCCCTGATGGTTTTTTTTTATTCGATTTGCCAGTATTTTGTTGAATATTTTTGCATAGATGTTCATGGGGGATATTGTTCTGTAATTCTCTTTTTTGGTTGTGCCTTTGTGTGGCTTGGGTACCAAAATAATTGCAGCCTCACAGAAGGAGCTCGGCAATGTCCCTTCTGCTGCTATTGTGTGGAACAATTTGAGGAGTACTGGTATTAGATCTTCTTTGAATTTCTGATAGAATTCTGCAGTGAAACCATCTGGCTCTGGGCTTTTTTTGGTTGGTAGATTTATGATGACTGCTTCTATTTCATTAGGGATTATAGGTCTGTTTAAACGCTTATCTGTTCTTGATTTAACTTTTGTAAGTGATATCTATCTACAAAATTGTCCATTTCCTTTAGATTTTCGAATTTTGTGGAGTACTGGTTTTCAAAGTATGACCTCATGATTCTCTGGATTTCCTCAGTATCCGTTGTTATGTCCCCCTTTCATTTCTGATTTTATTAATTAGCATGCTCTCTCTCTCTCTGTCTTGTGGTTAGTTTGGATAGAGGTTTGTCTATCTTGTTGACTTTCTGTAAGAACCAACTCTTTGTTTTATTGAGTCTTTGTAGTGTTTTCCTAGTTTCTACTTTATTGATTTTAGCCCTCAGTTTGATTATTTCCTGGTATATACTCCTCCGGAGAGAGTTTGCTTCCTTTTGTTCTAGAGCTTTCAGTTGCACTGTTAATTCTTTGGTGTGCCTATTCTCCAGTTTCTTCATGTGGGCATTTTGTGTTATGAATTTTCCTCTTAGCACTGCTTTCAAAGTGTCCCATAGGTTTGGGGATGTTGTGTCTTAATTCTCATTAAATTCTAGGAACTCTTTAATTTCTTTTTTTATGTCTTCCTTGACCCAGGAGTGGTGCAATTGTGCATTATTCATTTTCCATGAGTTTGTAGGGTTTCAGCAATTTGTGTTGTTATTCAATGCTAACTTTAAAGCATGGTGGTCTGATAAGATACAGGGGCTTATTCCAATTTTTTGTATCTGTGGAGGTTTGCTATGTTGCCAAGTATGTGGTCAATATTAGAGAAGGTTCCATGTGATGCTGCGAAGAAGGTATATTATTTTGTGTTTGGATAGAATGTTCTATAGATATCTGTTAAACCCATTTGGTCATAACATCTGTAAGTTATTTTGTTTCTTTGTTTAGTTTCTGTCTGGTGGTCCTATCTAGTCTCCTACTATAAGTCTTTGAGGTTTTATGTGTGGTTTGAGCTTTAGTAATGTTTCTTTT